GTCCCAAAGTCTCGCCGGCTGGGATCTTCCACAAGATGCAAGCTGTACCTCTATCACATCCGTTCTCTCCGCTCCCGCCCCGCCAACGCCCTCCCTGAATGAGATCGCAACAGTACCCCTGTCCCCTCTGCCGTTTTTGTGAAGGTATACTTATTGGGAAACGGGTTTGAAAAGTGGGGTATTCTCTTTTCCGCACTTTCCCCGCCGATGGCTTGGGGGACTTACAGAAATAACCCCCACGGATTGATACGAGATCGACTATGGCCAGCCGATCAATCTGCCACGTCAGCGGCCACGCAAACACGTGGCCGTTTTTGATGCTGCTGTTATTCGAGTGGTTACTGCAGCATTGCATTGAAGCAGCGATGGCGATCGCGATCCCGTCGCGAACGCGATCTGGATTGCAATCCAATCCAATACAATCGAATCCACTGCGCGCCACTGTAGCGACCAGAAAACACCGCAACGTCACCACAAAAGAAAACAACCAGAAGGGCGGACGAAACAGATAGGCGCAATCGCAATCGCAATCAAGCAGGCAGAGATTGCTATCGCGATCGCAATGTACCAGTGACTGCGTTGTCGATTACGACCGAATTCCAGCCACCGCGGTGACAGAATTCAAAAAGAACGGGAGAAAAAAAAAAAAAAAAAAAAAAAAAAAAAAAAAAGAGGGCAGAACAAAGACCACCAGAGCGGGGAATGCGTGCAACAGAGTGTGGCCATCGCAACGGAGCAGGCATTGGGAAATTTGCCACGGCGATTCGATGCGATAGCAGTTGCGCAACTGCTATCTCGATCGATTACAGGATGGCATTCGAATCTAACGCCACAGCGCCGCTCGCAGTAATAAAAGACACCCCCCCAAAAAAAAGGGGGAGAGGGGGGGGGGGGGTCGAGCAAGAAGAAGATCCTTCGCAACTCTCAGAAGAAAAAAAAAAGAGGCTTGTCCTAAAAAGGCCTTATGCATCTCTTCGCCGCCAAAAATGGTATCGAGCTAGCACACTTACAGCTCCATTCTGCGCATGCAAGCGCAAATATCTGCTTCCCTGCCCTTCCTCCCCTTTTCCCCGGTCGTTTCTCCGCCGTGGTCCCCCCCCCCCCCCCCCCCCCCCCCCCCCCCCCCCCCCCCCCCCCCCCCCCCCCCCCCCCCCCCCTCAGAACGTCTCTCCCTTCTTCTCTCTCGTAGGGCGCTGCGGGTCCGATGTTCCCCAACCTTGAGAGCGCCTTCAAGAAAAATCAGTTCAGCTTCAACAAACACAAAAAATCCAATTGCATTATATATATATATATATATATATATATCGTCACAAATACTAATCGGAATTCATGTCTGCGGGGGGCGCACTGCAAGCACGGAGTGACTATCATCACGATCGCAATCTATCATCACGATCGCAGTCTATCATCACGATCGCAGTCTATCATCACGATCGCAATCTATCTGATCACGATCGCAATCGTTGATTGGACTGTAACAACAAGAACAAGAACAAGAACAAGAACAAAAAAAAGGGCATCAAACGCGACACAGCACGTCTTCCCCTTCTGGGCTTCTGCAACATCCGTGCGACCGCGATCCTCGTTTCTACCCAAATTTTAAGGTCTCCGAGTCCGCCTGTGCCTCGCTTCTTCCTCGTCCATCATCGCAAAAAAAAACTATACTTAGTCATTTGCTATATAGCCCTTCGTAGGAAAAAGCTGCAAGGAGTCCTTCGGGACATCCGTTAAAATTGGAACGATACAGAGAAGGGTAATTAGCAAAATGGCCCTTGCGCAAGGATGACACGCATAAATCGAGAAATAGCTGCAAGGAAGCTGATACAAGTACTACCGTCTTGCCGCGAGAATACAGTGCACCCTTGTTATTATGACCGCATCGGACCCGAAAGATGGCGTCTATACATTTTTCAGAATCAAGGTGCGTTGTGTTCGGGGGACGACGGTAGACGGGACTTCAAGGCTGTAAGGAGGGAGTAACCGCGCTCGGGACATAAGGTCGACTCGCGGCGGCGTCAGTAAATAAATAAATTTAAATAAGAGAAATAGAGGCGTCAGTAAATGAATTTAAATAAGAGAAATAGAGGCAGCAGGTTCGACTGCTGTCCTCATCCTCCCAACGCCTTCCGCTGCCAAGAAAAAGATAATCGCAAACTCGCCGACGAGAGCCGAAAAACGCGAGGGAGAGGGAGAGAGGGAGAGAGAGAAACAGACTTCGCGAGCAAGAACGCAACGTATACCCGACGACGTACAGATCGGCAAACTGTGGAGGTCTGGCAAAGAGAAGAAGAAGAAGAAGAAGAAGGAGAAGAAGAAGAAGAAGAAGAAGATCGTTTTTGAAAGCGGAGCAGTCGCACCCTCTCGATGCTATGACCTTGTGATTTACGAGTACAAGATACTACACGCCTCAGGCTTCCTTCCTCCTCGATGGCTTAACCCCATAAATAAATGATATTACCCCCCCCTTAGTACCCCTACCGCTAGAAATAAATACCTAAACGCCGGCTCTGCGCATTCGGAACGACGTCGTCTTGCCCCTCTTCCAATCTGATGGATCCTCCTTCGAGTTCTTGCCCTGGTCTAATCTAATGCATCCATCGAGTTCTCTTGCCCTCGTCTAATCCGATGGATCCATCGAGTTCTTTCTTTCACAATCCCAATCCCAATCCCAATCACAATCACAATCACAATCACGATCACAATAACGATCATAATCACGATCACAATCACAATTAGTGACAGGATCGGACGTACAGCATTTAACGACAAGTACTGCAACATCGTACGAGTTCCAAGGACTGAGACGAGGTTCACTGCGCGCCAAGCTAATCAATCAGTAACGTTCGCAACATGTGAGCGGGTGGTTCAACCGAATCCAACTCTTTCCCATTTATTCCGATCCGACTTGGGAAAGAGGGGGGGGGGGGGGGAGGAAATTGGGGCAATTTGGGGGCATGTGTTATCACTGTAAAAAAAAATAGGGTATCTAGTATCTACGCCCTGATGTTGGGGGAGTAAACGGTGAGCGCGAAGAATATCGCCGTACCGGCGCCGGCGACGAGTACAGTCATCACCCACGCGATGGCGAACTTACTCAGAAGTTTCCAATCAACGTTGCTCCAGCCGTCGGACATACCGACCCCGACCGTGGATCCCACGAGCGTGTGGGTGGTGGATATCGGCATCGCGAGAACACTGGCGACGGTGATGGTGAGAGCGGCGCACAAGACCGTCGTAAAGCCCCTTGATGGGGTCATTAGAGTCAGTCCGCCGCCTAGACTGCGAACCATGCGCCATCCCCACACGGCAAATCCGAGACCCAGCGCACTGCCCGCCATAGCCATCATCCAGGACTGCACTCCGACCGTACTCACCTCGAGAATGTCGGGATTGGCAATCGAGCGGTGCACAGCCACACCCTCGTAGATGTTCTGGATCGACGACAAGGGGCCGATGGCATTGGCGGTGTCGTTGGTGCCGTGGGCGAAGGCGAAGGCGCAGGCGGTAAGGATCTGCAAGAAGCAGAACAGCTCCTCGGCCCGGTCGTCGAACACCTCGGCATGGGCGTGAAGAGTCTTGGTACGTTCCGTGAACTCGAGATCGTGCGCGATGGTCTTCGCCTCGACAGCGGAGTACCAATTCTCCACCCACTCCCACGCCCGCCCTTCCGCGGCTTGCCCCACCTCCCCTGCGCGCTGCGCGCCGAAAGGCGGGACCACGGGAGTCTCCCCCGCCCATCGTTGACCCCTCTCCGCGGCGTCCGCGAGAGCTCCGCCGCCACCCTCCGCGGCAGTTCTTGTTGTTGCAGATGCAGGCAATCCTCCTCCTCCAGCCGCGGCCTCCGCGTCGAAGGGCGTTCCGCGCGCCATAGCCGCGGCCATCGCCTCCGCAGTCACCCCTTTCGACTTCCCCCCGCCCGACGACGAGGAAACGGAGAAGCTTCCTCTCGTCGTCTCAGCCTCGGCATCCATGCGCTCGAGCCTCTTGCGAGCTAGCGGAACCGCGATGAGCCGCGCAAGCAGGCCCACCCCGATCCCGACCGACGTGGCAATCCACGTGGCAGTCTTCTTGCTCTGGTTCTGCAGCTGCAGCCTGCCGGATCCGTTGCAGACGATGAAGAAACCGATGACGAAGGCAGTGACGGCGTAGTAGACTGGGAGAGCGACAAGTGTGCGCTTGGCAGGGTCCTCGGCGCGCAGCAGGAGGCGTTTGGTGATAAGGAAGAAGCTGGCAGACAAGATCCCTGCCGTCACAGGAGCAAGCACCCAGGACAGCACGATGGAGGTGAAGCCGCCCATCTTGCCGCCGCCACCAGTCCAGTGGACGGAGCCCCAGCCCTTCACGACCAAGCTGAAGCCCATGAGGGCGCAGGCAATGCTGTGAGTCGTGGAGATGGCCATGCCGTGATAAGTGGCGCAGGCAATCCACGCCGAGGCCATCACGAGGGAGGTACACATGCCCCACATCAGCAATGACGCCCCATGTTTATCGAATTCGGTAGGAGAGCGAAGAAGGTAGAGCTCCGGATCTATGATATCCCCTCTTATGGTCTCCACAACGCGGTCTCCCATGAAAAAGGCCCCCGCAAACTCGAAGATCCAGGCGACGACCACAGCTTGCCTCAGAGTCAGCGCCTTGGACCCGACTGCTCCCGCGAACGAGTTTGCGACGTCGTTGGCGCCGATAGCCACAGCCATAAAGAATGCCACGAAAATGCTAGCGATATAAATCCAGTAGAACTCCTCGTCTAGATGAAACTCCGAGGTACCCATGATGCAATGCGCCCTTTCTCACGTCAGGCTCTCGCTTCGAGTTCAAAATTGACTCTTCCACTACGTCCGACTTGCTCGACTGATCCTATTGGACGTAATTGCGGTCAGATTCAGATCAGATTGACGTCAGAATGTGGCCACATTGAGCTCAGATGGAGGTGAGATTGATCGACCTTTTTGGGTTGGGTAATCGCGCCAACACACACATGCAGGAAACTTCGACGAGAACGAGCATAACCGCACTCCGCCGCATCAAGACCAACCCCCTCGCCCAGTTCTCTATCGTGCACCTGGTCTTCGGTGCAAGCCGGGCGTCTGATCTGCTGCTGCTCACCACTCTCGTCGGGCGATAGCTTCTTAATTAATTAACCCTCCCCTCACTGCGGACAATCACAGCACGATCACAGCACGACGACCTGCGATCCATTTTCCTGTGTCGGAGGGGCGTTCACAGTCCTATCCATTGCCTCAGTCGTCGGAACACTCAGTTCCGAAAGATTTATTCATTGATTGATTGATTGATTGATGAAGGGCAGGGACAGAGAACTGGTAGCTGTTATCCCGATAGCCTATAGCCGATAGCCGATAGTAGATTATGTGCTGTGATAAGTAGGCGCGTGTACGGTGTGCCCTTTACATGATGGGCCGGGACAGAGAACTAGATGTTATTTCGATAGCCGATAGTAAATTACGTTTAGCGAAGCGCACAGAGAAAGTGCCGCACTCAATGGTAGAAGCCCTAGCAGTGCTAGGCGATAGCCGATAAGGAACAGACATAGCCAAGAGTCGACAGCTAATATATGGATGTGAGCTATATGGCAAAAGAAGAAGGAGAAGAAGGAGAAGGAGGAGGAGAAGGAGGAGAGAGCAGAAGCAGCAGAAGAAGAAGGAGAAGAAAAAGAAGAAGATCAGAAGAAGAGGAATGAGGAGGAGGAGGAGGAGGAGGAGGAGGAGGATTGTAGAGGGCCGAGAGAAAGAAAGAACGGTTGTCATCAACACTGGCGTGACTGGAAGAGAAAGAGATGAGGGGAATTGCGCTCGAGCTGGGGACCAAAGGAGGAGCAGAAAGAGTCAAGAAGAGGATGCCTCCGAGCGTAGAAGATAGGCAGGAGGAGAAGAGAGAAGAGAGAAGAAAGTCGATTAGCAAAGGGTTGGCAATGCAAGCTTGGAGCTCCTAGGGGACGTCAGCGGACAGCCACAGACAGGATTGCCTCAGAGATTCGCTTGAATCGGAACGTGGACGACCACGTAGACCTGATGCGGAACTCGTGCAGGACAAGTCAATAAGCCCGACAGGTGTGTTCCCGGGTGGAAGGTAACGGGCCATTGCCAATTTGCCAAGGCCCACAACCTGTTGATCAGACTTGATCTGCAATTCTACACAGACACACGTCGACGCACTCCGCAGCGCAATCACGACCCAAGAACTGGAGGAAGATGGGATCGATATCTGTGCTCACACCAACACAGTACTCGCTCTGATACCATACCTCTCTTGCAAGCTTAATGATAGTCTCCAAGCCGAAAGTTATGCCTTCGTTTTCTGGAGCCTTTATAGCCTCTATATACACTGTTATAAAGGTAAATAAATGTACCTTTACTTACAGTAGATGGAACATATACATAAATATGTACGTTTCAAGGCTCAAGTTACCACGGTGACCTTACTCTCTCTCCCGCTAACACACCTACCCACCACAGCAGTTGTCATTCTCGCCACCTTAGATTTCCGCCATCTGTGTGTGTGTGTGTGTGTGTGTGTGTGTGTGTGTTGGCAAACGAGCGCACAGAGACGCGCACAATCGCGCGCGCGCGCACACACACACCACCCACACACCGACACACACACACACACGCACACACAGGGTCTCGCCGCACGGCACACGAAACGAAAACGAAACGAGTGCATCTGCCCACGAAAGGTGGCAAAATACACTCGTTACTCTTTATAGCAAACCGATGAACCTGGCCATGTTCTGCAGGAGATGCACTCGTTTCGTTTTTCGTTTCGTGTCCCGTGCGGCGACGCCCACAGGATAGACAGAGGATAGGTGTCTACGGTCAGTTGTTATGGTGAAACGCCACAGTAAAGTGGTGATCCATCCCTGGCTATTGACAGATGAGGGGGTCGTATTTTCCGCGTCCGATGGCCCCGGGAATTTCGGGAAAGCTTGGGTTAGAAAGGGCATCTGCCAAGTAAAACATTTTTGGGATGAGGAGAACGATCGCTGGCTAACAGGGAACGAGCTGCGGTTGCGCCTCCCCAGGTTGAGAAATGCTAGGGGCAACCTGGAGAAGCTCCTCTCTACAATGCCTGCGCACTGGACATTCATGCTAAAGCTGGATACTGAAAACGCAGAAGGGACTTGGCTGCGCCCGGTAGATGACCACCATCTTGTATGGAAGGTGCTGTGCCCAGATCTGAGTGGGGGAGTTAGGGTGGAAGAGTGGAGACGAAGTTCGCCCATTGGGTCTACTGGTTCGCTTGTCTCTATGGGTGAGATTAGGGTGCAGTCCACCCTGCAAGCCACTGAAGTGAGAGTTTGGCAGACACAGAAAGCTACTCAGTTATTGGGAGGTGTGGAGGAGTTCAAGGTTGAACCACTCAGGAGGGGCTGGTACACTGAGCTCAAGGCCAAGGCTCCTCAAACCTCAAAGTTCACGCCGCTTATTGCCTACAAACCCAGGATTGGGGTTCTAAAGCTGAAGGAATCAGTCCCTGTTACTTCGACAGATCTAGCTACCGAGCGTTTTCGACGTTTGAAAGGGTCTATAGTAAATATGCCAGAGTGGCAAACGCTMTGGAAAGCGCTGCAACAGATCCCGTCCCAGAGATMGGCCAGTTTGCASTGGCTTCAGTCTCTACAGGTGGTACCTACAGCRGAATGGTTGCACTCCAGAGGAATGGATATCGCTGTGAAATGTGTGCGATGTGACTGGGGATGGGAGTCTAACTCCCATCTTTGGGCTCAGTGCCCACTAGCAGATRAAATCTGGCTCTGGTGGAGTACACTATGGACAGACCTGACGGAATCTGTATTTTCTTGGGATGATAATTGGATYCTGCATGCAGCRCTCCCATCYTCGGGCTTCAAATATGYAGCAGGTTGGGGCTATGTTGCTCTGGTATGCAGAGGAGAGGTCATGCAGACAATCTGGAAAGCCAGGAACGCACTTGTTTTTAAAAAGGAAAAGCTCCCTCCCAATCAACAACAACAGCTAATTCTCCAGAATATCCGCCTCCAGGTGCTCTCGGACTGGAGGAAGTGCTCTGGACAGAAAGGGAAAGGGAAGGCTTGGTTCTTGAAGACCTGGGCACTGAAAGGCCGGTTTGCTTTTGTGAAGCAGGACGGACARCTTCGGATTCCCAACTGGTTACAAAAGAGGAGRGACGGRKTTCAGGTGTAGAGTCSCGGTTAGGCTCGCTCTGAGGTAMTAAGTTTTACACTCGGTTTGGACCCTATTTTGGACCAGTTGGTTGGGTTGGGGGTAGAGAGGCACACTAGGCTCAGTAGGGAGACGGAGGAATGGTTACGGTTTCGTCTGTTCGGTATCTGTTGGAGGGTCAGTTGGCTCAGGTTTATTTGTGGAATTGCTGAGCTTTCCCCAGTTTACATAAGCCTCTCAAGTATCATTGAGTTAACCCTTGGTAGGTAACTCCCTTTTTTTACCCTGAGCTTCAAAGCTTACTTTTTTGGAAAGTACATTAGGATGGGATGCTGGACCCGGTTTTCAGCTGGTTTTGGCCGTGACATTGGTGCAATAGTCGTTTGGCAGGCGAGCTTGCGCTCGTAAGCGAAACTGGCTGAGGCTGCCAGGTTAATCCTGGGTTGAATTGTGAGGTCCCCGGCCTCACCCCACTGGTTTATGCAATAAATGCTTATGCTTCCCAAAAAAAAAATAAAGTGGTGATCCTAGTGCGAGGTGAAATTGAGAGGAAAAAAAAAAAAAAAAAAGGGGGAAAATTTTCGAAATGCCCCTGAAGTTTGCGTTTACTTGCGGCGTGCCCCTCTGACGGCCGACTTACCTTGTCGCGCCCCTCTGACGACCAATGATGTTTCCAGAAAATCCCTGGCATCGTTTGGGCCTCAAACATGTTTCATATGCCCATACCGGTACCGGTAGCAAAGTTTCAGTGTGCCCCTACCGGCTGCCTGTTGAGAACCACCGGAAAAGTTTCCCATATGCCC